TACTTAAGAAACAATTGCTATCACCAATAGTTAATATGTAGAAAAATAAGAACTGACAGGAAAAGTAGAGTCAAATAAAAAGATAAAATTTGTGCACAAGGGGGGTGGGGGGTGTTCCCTCAGCCCAGCCTGCATGCTCTCCAATTGGACATCCCTCTCCCAATCTGAGACCACTGACTCCTAACTGCTCACTGGTCTGCCTGCCTGATCACCTCTAACTGCCTCTGCCTGCCTGCCTGATCACCCCTAACCATCCCTGTCTGCCTACCTGATGGCCCCTAACTGCTCCCCTACCAGCCTGATCGCCCCTAAGTGCTCCCCTGCTGGCCTGATTGCCCCTAACTGCCTCTGCCTTGCCCTACACCTGGGACCCAGACTTCCCTCCCTCTGGCCAGCTACAGGCACCCAGGACCTGAGCCAGCTTCACTCAGGCCAGCTGCAGCCACAGGGGACCATGGGCAGGCAGCTTCATCCAGGCTGCTGCCGCAGACCCCCAGGAGTACAGGGTATGCTGCTTGTCCCTCTCCTGGACTGCAGGCGCAGGTGCACTGCTGGCATCTGGGACCCTGGAGTGGGTGGCTTGTTCCTCTCCCGGTCCACAGCCTGTCTGGTCCCCATTCCTCTCTCCCCAGTGTTGAGTGTCTGAGCCATTATGAAATGTGGCATGAGGGTGTGACTACTATTTGCATATTAGCTCTTTATTATATAAGGATTTTAACTTGGCATCGTCTATCTTCAAGTGGATATTTTATTACTTCACATCTTGTATAGAAACTTCACTGTAGCAGAAACCAGTTTGGCACAGTGGATAGAGTGTCAGCCTGCAGACACTCTATCTACTCGATTCCGGTCAAGGGCACACACCTTGGTTGTAGGCACGTCCCCAGGGAGTGTGCAAGAGGCAGCTGATCGATGATTCTCTCTCATCGATGTTTCTAACTCTCTATCCCTCTCTCTTCCTCTCTGTAAAAAATCAATAAAAATATATTTTTTAAAAAAGAAAGAAAAAAGAAACTTCACTGTAACAAAATTTCATTTTTCCTGGGCAATCTTTGTGCTATTGTTGTCATGTATTTTACTTTCACAGATGTTATAAAACTGACATTACATTATTATTTGTTTAAATAGTTAATTACCTTTAAATAATAAGAAACTTCTATTATATTTTTCCTATGCATTTACTGTCTTTGGTGTTTTCCATTTCTTGGCATAGATCATTATTTGTATCTGGTAAAATTTCATTTCTGCTTGCAGGACTTTTTTTTTTTTTAACATTTCTTTCACTACAAATCTGCTGGTCATAAAAAAAAACAATTTTTTATATATGAAAAATATATTTTAACTATTTTTAAAATAATATTTTAAAAATTTAACTATTTTAACTGTATTTTAACTATTTTAAACTATTTTTAAAATATTTTCACTCATTCTAGAATTATAAATTGAGAGGATTTTCCCCCCTTGTAAGTACTTTAATGATGTTGCTCTACTATCTTCTCCCTTACACTGTTTCTGATGAGAAATCTTTTGAATACTCATGTTTATTCCTGTGCATAGTGTGTCTCTTTTCTTCTGACTACTTAAAAGAGTTTTCTTTTCATCATTGGTATGGAGCAATGTGATTTTTGTGTCTTGATGTAGCTTTCTTTATGTCCTTGTGCTTGCTATTCACTGAGCTTCTTAGGTCTGTGGATTTATATTTTTTACTATATTTTGCTAAATTTTGAAATTTTTGAATCACTCTTTCTTTAGATGATTAAATATATACAGGTTTGGGTCTCTAGAGTAGGCTTGGGAGGAAGAGGAGTGAACCAAACCGTAGGGTCAGGACCTCAACAAACAATTGAGTGCAGGTTCAGCCAGCTGGGCCATCCCTGCAGTGGCCAGTTCATTACCAGCTGCCTGAGACTGGTTCGTTCCTGGGCTAGAGGGTTTCATGCATCTGATCCATGCTGCCCAGCATTGCAGTGCCCATTGGAGCTATACATAGCTTATGGGGAAGGCACGGCCTGAGGAGTCAGAGCCTTGATCCCACGCAATAACCAAATCCGGGCATTGGGAATTCGGCCAGTTCTCTGAGTCACCCAACTGTTGCATCCTCGGAGCAGTCATAGTGCCTTCTTCCATCACAGTCCCCTAAGCTCGCAGCGATAGAGGTGTGCTGTCATAGGTTTGGGTGAACAGAATGTAGAAGACCCGTGGGTGATAGCAGGTGCCAGGTGCTGGCTGGGGAGGTGATCGTGTAGGTTTGCGTGAAGTGCTCACAGTCACAACTTTGGAAGCCTCTTAATTTCTCAGAGAGCTCGATGGTGAGAAAATGCAGGTCTCATCCTGTGTTGCAGTTTCTGTGGGAAACTCGCCATTGGGGGTGTCCGAGGGGTTGGCCGGAGTGCCTGTGGCAGAGAGACATCCTTCCCCCGTAACCTCTTTGCAGGAGGACTGGTCTCCAGATGCCCAGGAACTGCTCAGCAGATCCCGGCTGTTCCAGAGCTCTCTGAGCAGCCGTCCGTCTTCCACAGGAAGAAAGGTGTGTGCTTGTGCAGTCACTGCCCAGTCCCAGGCCGGCGGGGGCACCCGGCCCTGGACATGTTCTCCCACTGGGTTTGCAGGGGTCAGACAATGGTTGTCCAGAATTCCCTTGTTTGACAAAGAAAGTTAAGTTCCCAGTGAGGCCTCTGACTAGAAAGGGAAGGAACAGGGGAAAGGAGGAGGAGTCGAGCTGCCTCTTTTCCACGTGCGGGAAGGCCCGGAGCCCTAGGCACAATCTCCAGCCCCCTCACCTGCCTTGAAGAGGCTGCTTCTAAAGAGAACATGAAGGCCGGGCTCTGCTCCTGTGTCCCGGTGGGTCTGAAAAGCAGGAGGCAGAGCCGTGCTCTCACCCAGGCCTTGGGGCAGCAGCTCCTGGTTCTCGGCAGAGACCTGGGGTCTGACCTCTCCTCAGTGGTTGGAACCACATGTAGGAGCCACCGGTGCAGACAAGCCCCTGGGAGGCAGATACAGTGGGGAAACCATTGGACCTCATTGCCCAGGCAACAATGCCAGCATCCTGGCCTGCCCCCAGCTGCTCAGCGCCTGCTCATAAGCATGCTGCCCACAGGCCTGCCATCTTTGTTTGGTTAATTTGCATATGCACTCCTGATTGTCTGTGGGTGTCATGGTGGCATGGTTAATTTACATATTTGTCTATTATTAGTATAAGATGGCTGAGTAATATTCCACTGCGTATATGTTCCACAGCTTCTTTATCAACTTGCCTATTGATGGGCACTTGGGCTGCTTCCAGATCTTGACTCCCTACACTAATAAAAGAGAAATATGCAAATTGACCATACCTCCATGGTGCCCACCAGCCAATCAGGAGCAAATGTGCAAATTAACCCAACAAAGATGGCAGGTTAATTTGCATATACAGATGCAGAGCAAAGACTGAAGAGGCTTGGCTTCTCCACTGCGGCCAGAGCAGAGAACACAAACCTCGCTGCAGCCCAAGCAGAGAAGCCTAACCTCGAGGACTGGCTTCTCCGCTGCTGTCGGAGCAAAGGCCTGGGTCCCGGGGCCAGAGGAAAACTGATGGCCAGCAGCCAGGGAAAGGAAGGCCATTGCACAAATCTTCGTGCAATGGGCCTCTAGTTGTAAATAACACTGCAGTGAACATGGGGATGTATATATTCTTTCAAATTAATGTTTTGGGTTTCTTAGATTATATTCCCAGAAGTAGAATTGCTGGGTCAAAAGGCAGTTCCAATTTTAATTTTTTTATGAACCCCCCTCCACACTGTATTCCACAGTGGTGGCACCATTCTGCATCCCACCAGCAATACATGAGGGCTCCCTTCCTCCACATCCTCTGCCTCTCCGATTCTGCTGCTGTAGAACTAATAACCCAAATGGAATGCAAACCAGTTTGACATGCCCTCCTCCTTTCTCAAACTTAACTTCCTATTTCCAATAAATAATCTTCTGGCTGCTTTCCTCCCTAATGCCTTTAGGATATTGAATTATAAAGACAGAGTTCAGGTGTTTTCTCCTTTAAAAAATGGATTTCCCATTTATCATTTTCTACTTTGTGTTCCTGTATAGTCATTTTGGGATGGTATTTGGGGATTATGGGTTTCCATGACCAAATGGCTCACTGAGAACTAGGGGATTCATAGGATGACAATGGTCTGAGGCGGAGGGTGATTCTAAAGGTTCCTCACATAACTCAGCTGTTTTGTCACTAATTCATCCCCTCTGTCAAAGCAAAAAACAGTGACCCAGCATGTGGCATCTGGGGCATGTAGGTGCTCACATGAGCACAGTGTCACCTTTTGTATAGTGGGCTCCTGGGTACTAGAGCTTTGAGTGGGAAACACAGGTCTCCCATTCTGAAAGTGAAAAATAACACCTTCAAAGCAGTACATCAGTTTAGTTCTTGGGAGAAGCATCTGAGAGCGGAGCTGGCTTCCTCTGTCCATTAGTGGGTGACCTTAGGCAAGTCACTAGCCTCCTGGGCTTCCGTTGCCCCAACTGTGGAGTTAAGTGGTTGGACTGATAATTCTCTGTTTGACATAACCCATTCTTCACAGAGAGAGGGACAAACTTTATGAGGGGCTGGGAGAGCAGGAAGTCAGGTGTGGAGGGCTGTCTGACCCCTGGCACTGTCTCAGGGTCTCCCCTGCAGCCAGGGGATCAGCAGCAGCCTGGAGCACGCTCACCAGGATCTTCTGACTCTCCAGCAGGTGAAAGCTGGTCAGTGCTGTGGCATGCAGTGTGCTCCAGGCCCACCTTTCTGGAGCTATTTCCCGGAATGGGGTGGTGCTGGGAGGGCAGTGGTGGAGTCAGTCCCAGGGCCTGACAGCTTAAATCTGCCTTATCTTTGGGGCCTATCCGTTCCTCACTCTGGTTTTGGGAGGTCCCTCTGAGCCAGTGGGATACAATGAAGGCAATTGGAGCAGCCTCAGGCCTTGCAAGCACTGATGCTGATGAGATATATCTTTCAGGTGAACCTGTGGGAGAGGATGGCCCACGTGGGAGACTACAGACAGATGCCCTGGCTCCCTGTCCTGGTGGTAAGTGGGTCAGGACACCTGCCTGCACTGCACAGCCTTGGCAGAGATCCCATTGGGGCCCCTTCCAAGCTTCACTTCCCAAGCTTCACTTCCTTCACCAGCCACACTTCCTTGGCCAGGTTCCTTGGCCTCTTAAGCCTCGTTTACATGGCTGTAAAATGAGAACAATAATAGCATCTTCTTCACTGAGTTCTTCTGAGGATGCAAAAATGTAACTCCTGCAACACACTGAACAGAGCCCAGGATTTAAACTAGACTTTCCTGGTTGGTGGCTCCCTTTATAGGATTTCATGGATAGAAATGACCTTAAATGCTCATTTACATTGTGATATACACGTGCCTATGTGACAAGCCACATCTGTGGGTCATACAATTGGGAAAGATCCAAGCCTTTACCAGGAGCCCTCCAGGGAGGAAAAGAGGCACCAGGTGACTGAGAGGCCTGCTATGCTAGAGGCGTGGGCCAGGAACTGCCTCATTCTTGACTTTGATTTCAGGGGGAAGAGAGTTTGAATCAGGCCTCCAAGGTGGGGTGGGTATGGGACAGGGGGAGGCAGAGTGAGGCCAGGCTGTGGAAGCAGGGTGGCCTGCCCAGTTATCAGCCAAGTTCCTGGAAATGGGCACTGAATGAGCACTAACGGACTGAGCAGGCCCTTTCTCACCCGGCCTTGGGCTGTCTAGGCACGAACCCTGCGTAACTGAGTAGCTGTGTGTCTTCAAGGAGGCATGGAAACCAAATGACCCGTTTCTTGTGGCAGGTGTCTCTGATGTGCTCAGCCAGAGCAGAATACAACAACTGCGGCGAGAATGAGTACTACAACCAGACCACGGGGTTGTGCCATGAGTGTCCCCAGTGTGGGCCGGGGGAGGAGCCATACATGGTAAGGCCCCCTGCCTGGCTGCCAGACCACAGCCCCAGGGCCTTCATGGGGTATTGTCACCATACTTTGTGTTGCTCTGCATGTGGTTCCTAATACATCTGTGCCCAGTGCACCCGATGCATCCCAGTGCCTGATGGGCCTTGTGTGCCCATCACGTGGTGTGCCCAAAGACTGCAGGTTTGGTCCTGTACTCACCTGTGTCCTCTGTCCTCTTTCTTGGCCAGTCCTGTGGCTATGGCACCAAAGATGAGGATTATGGCTGCATTCCCTGCCCAGCAGAGAAGTTTTCCAAAGGAGGTTACCAGATATGCAGGCGCCACAAAGACTGCGAGGGCTTCTTCCGGGCCACCGTGCTGATGCCGGGGGACATGGAGAATGACGCTGAGTGCGGGCCTTGTCTCCCTGGGTAAGCATATGGAGCTCCAAACGGCACCCCAGGACATGCTCTCAGAGGCCCCTGCGTGTCTCTGGGAGGCCCTCTGAGAACATGAGCACCTCAGGCTGCAGTGCAGCATCACTCCTGCGGGCTGCCCCATTCTACAAGGGCGGCATGCAGAGAGGAGTAAGGACACGAGGCACCTAGGTTGGTGAGTCCTGCCACCTTTCCTGAGCAGGCAGCTGGCCTGGGCCTAGTTTCTGTGTTCTTAAAGCCAACATCAGTCAGATCTTCCGACTATTCAAATCAAAAAAATTTGCTGACTACTTACAATGAGATAATACATGTAGGGTGCTTTGAGAAAAAAACATTAAGATTCCATACAAGAGTATTACTTTTAATATTCTGAGGACAACTAAGGATAAAAGCCACTGAGAGGAATATTTGAGTGTAATGTGCATATAATTCCACCACAATTCTGTTATGTATCAAAAGTCTTCCCCAGAAAAAGCAAAGTGCAAATGCAGTTATCCTGAAAGAAGAATTAAAATCTTCCTTCACGCAGGCAGAACACATAAGCAAGTTCTCCTTGAGATGAGGGCAGGGCAGCCTAGAGGCCCAGTAAACACAAGCCTCTGCAGTTGCTACTGCTCCCTCTGGTGGCCACACAGCATAATGCTTGCATGGGCTGCCTGGAAACTAAGAGTGGTGAGGCTGAAGGGTGATGGAGCTGGCGAGGGTGCAGGCCATGGTGTTGGTCATGGAGGCAGCACCATTCTGAATACTACACTGTATTTCACAAACTGCTTGTTTACCCATCATCTTACTGTATTGAATTGAGAGGAGGAAGAAAATACGAATACATTCAAATGAGAACACTAGCCATTAGTCTAAGAAAAAGAAAGTACAAAAAAGTCAGAAAGTCACACCAATTTAGAAATAGAATGAAAGTGAATAACTCTTTTAAATGAGGAGATATTTTAAACTTGAAGAAATTTACCCTAATTCAAATTTGTTACAGAGAAGCATCAATTTCCATGGCTTCCACCACCATCTCTCTGCTGGTGATTTACCACCCCCCACCTCCAATCTCCCTAGTTTTCTGTCATGAGTTCATACCTACATCCTGAGTTACATAACTGCCTATCCAAACATATTTTTCAAGTGAATAAAGAAATGACCCCTTATTCCAGAACCTTTACAGGAAAACACACGCTCGCGCGCGCACACACACACACACACACACACACACACAAAGGTAGCTATACCCAAATAATCTATTCTCTTAAAAAATATCTATAATAATAAAAGGGTAATATGCTAATTAGACCAGACATCCTTCCGGACAACCTTTCAGATGAAACCACGGCAGTGTGAGCTGAGGCAGAAGCGGCACCTCAATGGCAGGGGGCCAAGCCCCTTGCATGAATTTCACGCATTGGGCCTCTAGTCCTATAAAATAAAAGCTTAATATGCTAAGTTTCCTGTTGTCCAGTTGTCCATTCAACCAATCAAAGCGTAATATGCTAATGATAAGCTAAAGCAGCTCAACTGCTTGCTATGATGTGCACTGACCATCAGAGGGAAGATGCTCCAACTGGTAGGTTCGCTTGTTGCTAGGGTCTAGCAGATGGGGACTGAGTTAGATGGGCTAGACAAACCCTGAAGCCCTCCTGCATCCCTCCCATGTCCCGATCGTGCACCAGTGGGGTCCCTTAGCCTGGCCTGCACCCTCTCACAAACCAGTTTTGGCCCAATCCCACAGGCCAGGTTGAGGGACCCCACTGATGCATAAATTCGTGCACAGGGCTTCTATTGATGAAATAAAAGTCCTTTCACTGGGTTTTCTTTAGTTCAGTTGCTGTGATCATTGTGCTGTGGGGGATCCACCAGGGAAGTGTTAGAAGAAGTAGTCGAGCCCTAGCTGGTTTGGCTCAGTGGATAGAGTCGGCCTGAGAATTGAAAGGTCCCAGGATCAATTCTGGTCAAAGACACATGCCCAGGTTGCAGGTTCAATCCTCAGTAGGGGGTGTGAAGGCGGCAGCTAATCAATGATTCTCTCTCATCATTGATGTTTCTATCTCTCTCTCTCCCTCTCCTTCCTGTCTGAAATCAATAAAAATAGCCGAAACCGGTTTGGTTCAGTGGATAGAGCGTCAGCCTGCAGACTGAAAGGTCCCAGGTTTGATTCCAGTTAAGGGCATATACCTTGGTTGCGGGCACATCCCCAGTGGGGGGGGTGCAAGAGGCAGCTGATCGATGTTTCTCTCTCATCGATGTTTCTAACTCTCTATACCTCTCTCTTCCTCTCTGTAAAAAAAAAAAAAAATCAATAAAATATATATATATTTTTTTAAAAATCAATAAATTTTTTTTAAAAAAGAAGATGAAGAAGCAGTCGATCTATCCTACCCAGTGGGTCACACGTCTGTGGAGGGCCTGCAGACACTGGGCTTGAAGGAGAGAGATCAGAAGGACCTTGACTTTAGGTGGCTAGAATCAGTCTCTGGTAACTTATAGTTCCCAGGACTCTTCTCTCCATTGCTTTTAATTGCTGCAGGTACATAATTCATGAAAGAAATGCAGTTTCAGCCGAAACCGGCTTGGCTCAGTGGTAGAGCATCGGTCTGCGGACTGAAAGGTCCCAGGTTCGATTCGGGTCAAGGGCATGTACATTGGTTGCGGGCACATTCCCAATGGGGGGTGTGCAAGAGGCAGCTGGTTGATGTTTCTCTCTCATCGACATTTCTATCTCTCTATCTCCCTCCCTTCCTCTCTGTAAAAAATCAATTTAAAAAATGTATTTAAAAAAAAAAAAGAAATGCAGTTTCATGGATTAACTGTAGACGTGCCAAGGAAAAGCATGCTCCCCTTGCCATGCTTAGCTTTGGAAAGAAAATAACCCTTTTTGCAAAACCTCAACTTATTTTGAGAGCCTGTTAGTGTGAGAATCTGACCTGACATTCACAATGTAGCATTTATTTTAGTAAACCTTTAAATTAAGCCCACCTGGTAGGTACTAGTGAGACAAAGAGGGAAGACGTGGTGCCTCTCTTTCCAGTGGAGGAGAGAAGAAAACCTGTGGTCATAGTGGGAGGCACACGGTGCTCAGGAAGTCCAGGAAGGGCCGTTCCTGTGATGGGGTCAGTGGGGTCTTAGAAGACTTCTCAGGGTGATGCTAGGATGGGTGGAGCAGAGTTGAAAAGTGCAGGTGCTCAGCCAAAGCCCAGAGGGTGAGCAGTCCCTGAGCCAAGTGGAAGGCACACAAGTGGGTGTGGAGAAACTAGACTCTGGAAAATGATGCTGAGAGCTCTCATCTTTAGCTTGACACTGATGCAGACGTATACGCTGGTGTAGGGCATAATCAACCCTAGGATGAACCCCTTAGCAGCAGTGAAGATAAAAACTGTTGAGCAAGAAGAGATGGAAGCCTGGGGAACAGGGATGAGGTGGGAAGTTGTGAGGATCAGGGCAAGGCGAAAGCCTTGGAAGTTGCAAGGAGAGGGAAAATTCAAGAGCTTGTTGGAAAACAGCAGAGACAAGAGTTGCAGACCGTGTGCATGTGGGATTTGGAGAAGGAGATTTTTAAGTGGATTCTCAGGTGTCTGTCTCAGGCAGCTGTGTGGACAGGAAGGCCATTTGCTAAGATGTGGACTACAGGAGGAAGAATAATTTTGATGGGGAGTTGGAGGAAAGATGGAGGAGGTATGTGTGGAATTTAGGTCGTTGTTACATGCAAAATAATGTATCTAACACATAGATAAATAAATAGCTCAGGCCACATCTGGAATCACCTACCCATTAGTGGTATGGGTAGTGGTCCAGATAGGAAGAGGAATGGATTCAAGATAGAGCCTGGCCCAGAGCTTTGCTGTCTGACCCTCTGTGATTCAGTCCCATAGTGTCTGTGAGACTCAGCCAGACTTTATTCCGATGCTCTAAAAGGGGTAGTGAGTATGCACACTGAGCAGTCTGTTTCATTCTTACTTGGACCCACAGAGACTTTCCTGTAGAGGGGACAAGCCCTGGGACCAGTACAGTAAATGACCTTCCCATGGGCAGGTGCTGGCTCGGTCACTGGAAAGGCTGCTTGAAGACGATTGGTTTGGTACCAATACATTTGCCAGAAAGCAGTTTGACGGGGAATGGTTGTGAGCTCCCTGCCTTTGGAAGGCTTCAATGCCGGACAGCCCTCTGTGGAATTAGCAGGGAGGCCAGCATCTGTTTACAAGGATCTTCCCAGCCTGGAATCTTAAGTGACTCCTTCCCTGCTCCATGAGAACAGTGACCTGCTTCCTCCACACTTTGTCTCCCGCACCGGAACAAGGTGAGGGGAGCACTGGCTGAGTGCAAAGGATATTGTGCAACAGACACACCTCAGTGCACCTCTCATTACCCCACGGAAGTGAAAATATAGTCAGTTTCCATTTTGGCTGTGCTGTGATATGACCTCAAATAAATCACTCCCTACCCCAAGGGCACGGAAATAGAGGACCTTTACTTTATCTTGAGGCCTAACCTCCTTATCCTGGCTCTAATAAGCACAATGCTCTAACAGGGTGGGACCCCAAAGGCCTCCCTCCTATTACAGGTTTTGAGTCAAAATAAAGCTCTCAAGCTGTGTCACAAAGGAGGATTATAGGGAGTTTTGGCAAGTTGGAGCTATCAGCTCCATGAAAGGCTGTTTTCATTCCCAAGTCCCCGTGGTCCCCAGGCTGCGGATGCAGACTGCCTCCTATTTGTCTTCCTGACACCACAGGTTGCCTTGGCCTGTTCCCCCTTTGTGGTTTGGCAAGCACCACCTTCTCATTCTTTGCCATCTCTGCTGTATATCAGTATGTGGCCAAGACACTGGCTGAACAATGAGCAGTACATGTGGCTTTCCTGTTGAGAAAGACTTGTGTGGGAGGATCAGGGAGTAAAACCCGAGAAGAGGAAGAAAGAAGAGGTGAAATTCCACAACCTCCCCCAAGGCATCAAGTTACCCATTGGAGACACTCCTGCTGGCTAGCTTCCACACCACGTTCATTCCCTGCAAATAAGGCATTCTAGGATGTTTGGAAAACAGGGACAAAGGGCAGGTGGTTGCTCTACATACCAACATTGTAGAGGGCAAAGGGAGCATCAAAGAGCTCAGTGGCATCCATTGCAAGCTCAGGAGCTCTAAGAAAAGGGAACCTTTGGAGAAAATCTACACACACAGGAGATTCTAGAGGCACATTTAAACTGAGTATTAATGTTTTTATACTTTTAATGATTAAGTTACCCACCTTAATTGACCCTTCAAGAAAAACAGAAAGAAAGAAAAAAGATCAGGGAAAAGTCTAAATAGAGATCAAAGAGTGGGAAATTAGACCTTCGCAGAAAGACAAAGGGGCCTGATACTCTAACCAGTCACAGCTCCCTAAATGAACAGCAGCTTCAAGTTCATAGAAGCCAAACAATTAGTCTCCACTCCTCCCTGGCTGGGAATGGGAGGTGTGGGGGTAAACTAAACACAAGGAGTTGAGGTTGTCTTAAAGAGAAAAAAACCAACATTTAAAAATCTTCTGAGCAATATATTCTAGGAAATGTGTGACATATTTAACACTCATGATTTTATAACAGCCTCCGGGAGCCAACATTTTTTTCATATATATCTTTTATTGATTTTACACAGAGAGGAATTGAGAGGGATAGAGAGTTAGAAACGTCGATGAGAGAGAAACATTGATCAGCTGCCTCTTGCACACTCCCTACTGGAGATGTGCCCGCAACCAAGGTACATGACCTTGACCGGAATCGAACCCAGGTCCTTTCAGTCCACAGGCCGACGCTCTATCCACTGAGCCAAACCAGTCTCAGCATGGGAGCCAACATTTTTTTTAAAAAAATTATAGCCCTTCCATATTGTTTCTTCAGTTAAGCTGCTGAACACATCACACGTCTTGGTGCAGACATGCAGCCAGGACAGGAGGTGTAGTGGCAGCCATCGGGGCCTCTGGGAGTCACAGAGAAGACCCCTCAGGATGAGAGCCGTCGGCCTGCCCAAGGAGGTGCCTGTATGCCCAGCAAAGGCAGCTGACTGATCCCATTTGGAGTTGTCCCTGGTGTGCACAGAGTGTGGTGTTCCCTAGGACTCACTGGGTGTCCAGTTCTAAGACCAAGCGTCCTACACTCACCCAGGTGGCTGTGGAATTTCATCCAAAATGGAGCTTAACACCAGGCTATTAACCAGGATGGGCTTAGCTGTGGTTCTGCTTTTGAAAATGAGGAAAGGTGTACAAAACGCCATTGGACTTCTGTCAGTCTTAGCACTGTGAAATTCTATAGAGAAAAACTTGGTCTCATTCACTTCTCTTCTCTTCAAATCAATTCTTGCCTAACACCTTCCCTCCTCATCACCTAGTGCAAGGTACTAGGAATGCAGGCATGAACAAGGCTGGCCCTGAGGGACTCCCAGGCCAAGAAGAGAGGCATTCACAATCTGGGGGAGAAGAATGCACTAGAGGTGGAGGTGAAAGCAGGAGCAACTAATAGTAGATTGGTTCGCTGCCACCAATCTAATGCCAACAGTAGGCCCCAATCTAGGGTGTGGTAAAAGGAGAAACTTTATTCAGAAAAACAGTTTGCAAAGCCCAGAGAAGCAGTCCCTAGTAAAAACCAATTTGTGCTCCACTGAGATAAAGAGAAGGCCAGTCTTCATAAAGTCCCCATCATTGTCCCTGATTGGTCCATTTTTATGCAAATGAGGAATCCAAATTTGCACAACCTGGTCCAAATAGCACTGTGCTAATTGGTCAGCTTCATGTATTCTGATTGGTTGTTATGGAGCAGCTCTGATTGGTTAGTAAAGATGCAAATAAGGTTATAGCTCTGTAATTTTAAATGGACAGGGCAGGTCTCAGCCCCCTGGTTGAAATGCAACATCAGAAACTCCTTCATCAGGATGGACTCCACAGGCAGGAGCACCAGGAGGAGGCTGAGGTTCAGTCTGCAGTTTTTCCCTGAAAGCAGCCTATGTGAGAGGCCTTTGTCGGCAATGGCTGCCAGATTCTTGTTATGAATTTGGACCCAATTAACCATGAGGAGGCCTTCTTGGCAGATACATTCTTTCTCAGGTCACAGAGGCAACTTTGGGTCTGTATGTCAAAAAGCTGCAGGAGGACTGACCTGGCCAACCTGAAGCCCAGAGGCCATAGCCCTGATTAGGCCACACCCCTCCTGGTACAGACACGCCCCTCCTGGAGCCCGTGCACTGGAGGCCCCCATGGCTTCCTGCTTCCCCAGCACAGATGGCTTCTGAGGGGACAAGGTGTGCATTTGAGAGAGGCTTTTTCCAGAGGTTTAATTGTGAGCCTGGCTATGCTGGCTTCTCTGAGGGATGTTTTGAAATTGGTTAATTGATGTTTTTAGATACACAGGAATCTGGGGATAAAACGCTCTGAGGAAGGGCAGGTAATTATGATCATAATGTTACTGATAATGGTTCAGCTCCTAGCCGCTAGAGTCCGAAAACTACCTCCCCCAACCACCACCACCCCCCCCAAGTCCTGCTCCAGCGGGGCCTAGGTGTGCATGGCTAATGAAAGAGATTTTAAAACAACCATGGAAGTATTCAACAGTGGAGAAGTATTTTTCATTTTTTGAAATTGTAGTAAGGGAGAACATGGGCGTCAGTTCACTTTATTAATTGATTTCTCACAATGCAATAGCTGGCTCCATGATCATCTGTGAATGTATATTTATGGAAAATAAGCATACATCAAGAGAAGTGCCAAAGCCTGCCTGTAGATGGAAAGGAGGCTGAGTTGTGAGGCTAGAAGGGGAGGCCAGAAGGTGGAGGCCCCAGGAGGTGTGGCCTGCAGTGAACAGCAGCCCCTGGTGGCAGACTCTGGGCAGGGTGTTCTTAGAGCCAGCATGGTCATGGGGCTGGAGTATTGACATTAGGAAGCTCGAAAGAAATCACTGTGAAGGCTTTGTCTTTTTCTTTAAATGTCACAACCCCAGCATGAATTTATATGTGTGTCTTTGGACAAGTGCTTCCTGAGGAGGAAGCAAATAAATTTCAGTTATGGCCTGGCTGTACTTCAGGCTATCTCTAAAGCCCTCTGTGGTGACATTCCTGGACATTACTACAGCCATGTTGCCGGCCAGTGCCGCTCACTGGTGGTCAGCAAGTGTTGCCCGAGAGGTCCCAGTGTCACAGGCAGAGACACGTTACAGGCATTCAATAAAGGAGTACTCCTTCTCCAAAGGTTCCTGAATCTCTGGTTGGCAAGACACCCAAAGCGCTAACCAGAGCATACACGTGCTGGCAGTGCACACACGTGGTGGCGGGCATGCACACTTTGGCACACCGATGTTTAGGTGGAAGATATTGATGAAGATGGTGATGATTTCAACAATAATTCATCAGTGAAAGGAACCAAAAGGAGGGGGTGGGATTTTTATTAGACCCAAACTGGCCTAATATTGGGGGGAAATTCGTTTTAAGACAAGTTGAAAACCTCCAAGGAAACTCAGTGATCAAAATGGGCTGCTGCCTCAGCAGGGCTCCTGCTCCCGGGCATCTGTCTCAGGCCTGATTGGGATCTTGTTCAGTCGTGGGTATGCCAAGTGGTCAGCATTTGCTTGTGGTAGAGCCCAGCTCACTGTCTACTTGTCTTATTTGCCCTCCCTGTAGTTACTACATATTGGAAAACAGACCCAGGAACATCTACGGCATGGTCTGCTATTCCTGCCTCCTGGCGCCCCCCAACACCAAGGAATGTGAGTGCACTTTGTCCTACTTAAGAACGGTACTGATTCAATATTGATGTTTTGTATTACATGGTGTGTTAGACTGAAACCAGTCCTGGCACCTAAACAAGTTAAGTACAGTAAAGGCATAAACAAAAATGTCCCCATAGTCTAACCCAGTGGTCGGCAAACTCATTAGTCAACAGAGTCAAATATCAACGGTACGATTGAAATTTCTTTTGAGAGCCAAATTTTTTAAACGTAAACTTCTTCTAACTCCACTTCTTCAAAATAGACTCGCCCAGGCCGTGGTATTTTGTGAAAGAGCCACACACAAGGGGCCAAAGAGCTGCATGTGGCTCTCGAGCCTCAGTTTGCCAACCACGGGTCTAACCAATCAGAAAGCAAGTCCATGAAAAAGGTTTGCTGTACCATGAGTCAGAGGCTTAGATTAGTAACCTTGGACAAGTGACCTTGAATAAATCTCATAACCTCTGTGAGCCTCAGATTTTTCATCTGTAATTTGAGGGTGCTAAAATCTGAATTATCCATGTTATGCAATTCTTAGATAAAACAATGAGTTCAAGGTATTTTGCAAAGTACTACAAAGCTCTAGACGATTGTTAGTTCTCATACATAACCTCTGCTTTCCCATCTGAGAAATGGGGAGATGCAGCCAGATGGGCCATGTGGGGTGACATGGTGAATGAAGCCCTGCATGGGTCAGGCTCTCAAGTGTGGACGTAAAAGTTACTCTCTCCACTTCGAGGTCTCCACTTCTCCTGCATAGGGCTCTTGCTCAGGAATCAGAAGATGGGGCTAGAGGGTCAGTAATGAGGCCCAAACTCACAAAACTGCTATCAGCAGCTCTAGCCTGCCCAGGAATTAGGTAAAACCAATCAGGACCCCAATTTTCTAGCTGGCTGCCCAGGCCACACCAGACTCTGCCCTTCCTGAGCCTTGGTCAGTGGTTGAGAACTCCTTTGCCTCCACCTGAGAAGCCTGCTTTGGTTTTGTTTGGCTGTGATTTACCTAGGCGCATCCCTTGTCAGTGGATTACACACCCCATAGTAAAAGAGAACCTGGCACGAACCCCAGGGAAGCGTGTGACAGATGCACACGTGTGAGGGCTGGTGGAGGCCAGGGGTGCCGGCTGTGTAGGAGTGAGCCCTGGAATGCGCCGCCTGAATCTGCCTGGGGCTCTCTGCCATCCCAGGTGCTGAGATTCTCCCAGGAGCCCCGGGCTGCAGTCACCCAGTCCCACTTTAGCATGCTTGGGTGGGGCTGAGAATACATGCTCACTGTCCCCAGGGGCTGCCGGGACCCCACGGAGAACCCTGATGTGCAGTATGGGCCCTGCTCTGGAACTTCAGGGCCTGAGTTTAAATTCCTGTTTCCTCATTGCCAAAGATACCCACCTCCCCAGCTGTTGTGCAGCTAGACTGAGCTACAATGCTGGTTACTGTGTCATGGCCCATCCAAATACCCTCAGGAGGAGTGGCAAAGCACCACACAGTTATTGTTAAAATGGGGGTGGGGGGGGGGAGATAAACCTAGTTTCCATCTCCATCGAGTAGTAAGAGGGAAGCCAGAGAATTACCACTGGTCACCATTGGCCCTGCCTTTGGGCCATCATCATCTTCAGGCAAACAGACATGCGTGGAGCTTCAAACAGAACCTGGGCCTCTGTTTGGAAGTGCCAGGGAGCCATGAACTCCCTGGTTTCCATCTTTCCTCCTGAAAAACAAGTGTAAGTGATGGCTCTTACATAAACCACATGGGTGTGGAAGGGATGCCCCCAAATATTCAAGAGCTCTGAAACCTCTCCTGCTTGTGACTTGCCCATCAGGAAAGCTTCAAGCCTTTCTTCCAGAAGCTTCCACCACAGTGAACAAACACTACCTTCCTTCCGCAACCTTAGTCCCATCACTGTGTCCTGGAAATGAAAGAAGCAGCCCTCCAGTTATTTTTTAGCTACATCCAAGAGCAAGACCCACTGGGTGCAACCAACGCTTTCGGTTTTGTTGTTTTCCTTGCACGGGCCTGAGGACTGCCTCAGAAAGGACCCATGCTGTGATGGCATGGGGTGGCTCAGTGCGAGAGGAAGAAAGAGATTGCATCATATTTGGGATTCGTTCGAGTTTCCACTCTTGGGACAGTTACCTAACTTTGTACTTCAGTTTCCCCACCTGTTACATGAGGATCGTCTTCTCAGAAGATTGTTGGGAGGAGGAGATGACATGTCAGGTGTGTGTGAGCCCTCTTTTCAGTGTACACGCGGCACTTACTGTGGGATAAAGCTTCAGTCTCATAGGTGAGCACCAACCAGGCCCCTGCAGCTCCACCTCATATAGCTGACCTTCTTCTCTGCATTGTCGGTTCGCCTGGGACACAGAGAGCAAGAACCCCTCCTGCACAGAGTGCTGGAGGAATCAGTGAGAGAGTGGTGGGTCTGGCACCCAGCAATTGTTCCCTGGTTGTCGTCAGCATTTTTATGAACACTTGTCAGTGGCTGTGACCCCTGAGAACTGTGTTCCCCTCCAGATGCCATATGAAGCCTCGGCCTCCCCAAATGACAGTTTTTAGCTGTTTCCAAAGCAGTGTTTCTTGTTACCGGTCCAAAGTCCATGTGCCCACACTGCCAAAGGCCAGTGTTCAAAACAGCAGAGTCTCTGAGTAAGGAAAGTTATATTGATTGAGAAGGTGCCTAGTTAAGCAGATGGTTCTTCAAATCTGTCTTCCAAGAGCCCAGAATTCAGGTATCTTTTATGTCAACAGAAAGGAGAATGGAAAGGACAAGAGATGATTGATCATCAAAGGCATCTGGCCACCAACAGGGATCCAAAGAAGAGTATGAAATCTCGAAATCTCTTTTTTTTTTATTTAATAAACTTTATTATTCAGATTATTACAATTGTTCCTCTTTTCCCCCTCATATCTCCCCTCCACCAGGTTCCTATCCCACCCTCTGTCCTTACCCCCCACCACTGTCCTAATCCATAGGTGTATGCTTTTTGTTCAGTCTCTTTCAGCATCTCCCACACCCCTTTTCCCCCGAGAATTGTCAGTTCACACCATTTCTATGCCCCTGGTTCTATTATATTCACCAGTTAATACTATTCATCAGATTTTTTATTCCCTTGGTTTTTAGATTCACTTGTTGATAGATATATATTTGTTGTTCATAATTATTATCTTTACCTTTTTCTTTTTCTTCCTCTTCTTAAAGAATACCTTTTAGCATTTCATATAATTCTGGTTTGGCGGTGATGAACTCCTTTAGCTTTTTCTCATCTGTGAAGCTTTTTATCTGACCTTCAGTTCTGATTGATAGCTTTGCTGGGTAGAGTAATCTTGGTTATAGGTTCTTGCTATTCATCACTTTGAATATTTCTTGCCATTCCCTTCTGGCTGCATAGTTTCTGTTGAGAAATCAGCTGACAGTCATATGGGCACTCCCTTGTAGGTAACTGTTTTTTTTCTTGCTGCTTTTAATATTCTCTCTTTGTCTTTTGCTCTTGGCATTTTAATTATGATGTGTCTTGGTTTGGTCCTCTTTGGATTCCTTTTGTTTGAGGTTCTGTGTGCTTCCTGGACTTGTAAATCAATTTCTTTCACCAGGAGAGGGAAGTTTTCTGACATTATTTCCTCAAATAGATTTCAGTATCTTGCTCTCTCTCTTCTTCTGGGACACCCATAATTCTGATGTTGGTACTGTTGAAGTTGTCCCAGAGGCTTCTTACACTATCTTCAACTTTTTGGATTCTTTTTTCTTTTTGCTTTTCTGAAGGAGTGTTTTTTTGCTTCTTGGTGTTTTAAATCTTTGACTTGATTTTTGTGATCCTCTTGTCTGCTTTTAGGTCTCTGTAAAATATTTTTTATTTCAGTCAGTGAATGCTTAATTTCTTGTTGATCTTTTTTCATATCCTCGAGGGTCTCATTAAATTTATTGGCCTTTTCTAGGAAATTCTTGAAAAACCTTATAACCGTGGTTTTGAACTCTATATCCAGCTACTGCTACAAATATGCTCATTATTTTCTCCATTTCCTTCATTTGTAGCCTGCCTCTTTTGTCTTCTCATTTTGGCTGCTTCCCTGAGTTGATAGAGTTGCTTTATATGCTAGGTGTCCTATAGGGCCCAGTAGCTTAGCCTCCCCAGTGACCTGAGGGTGGACACTCTTGGTGCACCCCTTTGTGGGCTGTGTTACAGTCTTGTTGTAGTTAAGCCTTGATTGTTGTTGGTATCGCTGGGGGCAGATGACCTCCAGTCCATTTGACTGGAGGATTAGCAGTGTCTCTGCTGGGAGGGCTTCTGTGCTCAGCTTGGATGGAGCGGAGTCTCAAGGTGAAGCAGACAGCCTTGGTTTCACATCAGCCCTTCACTAAGAGGGCCCTGTGTCTCAGTGTCCTGTAGCAATGACTGCATGCACCTCTGAAAGAAGGCTGCTCTCAAGTTTAGCCTGCTGCCAGTCAGGCCACTTTCTCCCCAAATGAGTCTGGTACCGAAAGTCTCACCCGGAGCTGGATTTCAGTGCAGTTGGGAGGTTTTGTTTTCCTCCCGAATGAGAAAGCTAGCCTCCCATTTGCTGCCTGCCCTCTCCTCATGCTGCGAGTAAGCCAACCCCATATTCAGCCTCCCGCCCTTTCCATGCTCACAGATCTCCGTACCTCCACAGCTCCTCTGATTCTCAGTGTCCTTTTCTCTTTCCTTCTAGTTGTAGAATTTCCACTCAGCCAGCTTTCCTGTGGTTCTAGATGATGTCCATTCTGTCTTCCAGTTGCAGTTTTAAAATTGTTGTGTGAGACATCAGTATAGGTTTCTTGGTTTCTCTCGAAATCTCTTTGTTCCAGATTACCATCCCTGTACACATTTCCTCATCTCTCTGGGGAGAGGCACCCCTGGCAAAAGGTTGTTTCTCAAAAAAATGTAGCCCCAAGAAGAATTCCTATAATAATGATCACATTTGTAGCAGTAGCTGGTAGCTTGAAGGCCATGGGAGAAATGCAGGCTGGACCAGAGGTAGAGTCCAAGAAAGTGAACATGTCAGTCTGTCACACCATCCCTGGGATTCATTTAAGAAACAGGTCCTGCCTCAGAAGTCTGGATGCTCTCCCAGCAAGCTCTGCTCTCCCAGACTGCTCTCCCAGCAAGCTCTTAGACCCAACTTGAGCAGCTACGTTCTAATGACTCTGCTCATTGTTCCAGCAGCTGCCAGTAGGGGGCACTGAGCCAGTGAAACAGCCTCAGGCCCCTCAATGACAGCTGTAAAAATCAACAAACAAATTCCTAAAAACTCAAGATGTTTGCCATATGTAGAGAATGCCAGCCATCTCTACTAGTATACTCATCGGCACATTTATAAATAGCGTGGATTAACAAACCTCAAAGGTTCTTAGTAAACCCTGTCATCACATTGCTGACATTAAGCCATATGCTCACAATTTTAGACTCCTCCTGAGGAGGTAAGTGTACTCCCCGCAGAGCCCACCTGCCTGTACCAATGTCCACAGTCAGTGCTGCCTCACACTCAGACTCCATTTTCTTTCGTTTGCATAGAGCCCTTGTGTGGATATTTCTGTCTACTTTCTGGAATATAGTTTCCAACAACCTTCCCTTACCCCTATCATAAAATATCTTATCTTTGCTTATTCAAAGCTGGACTCCAAACATGATGGAGCATAAGATGAGTTAGTAGTTCACCACCTATCAGAAACAACACTGACATTTTCATCAATGATCCATTCCAAAGAGGCCAAGTGACCTGGAAAGACACAACATGTGTTGGAGCAAAGGGAAACCTCCCAGGCACCTTGTTTTTATTAATGCTGAGCTAATCCTCGTTAAACCACAAGATGTTCCCCTGCCCAAGACCTGGGCAGGGGAACATCTTGCACAGGTCCTGTGTTGATGGTGTGCTTGCCCGCGGGCACCTACCCCCAGAGGGGACCTCTAGTCCTGCTCACTCTCCCTGTTATCTTTGGATGTGCTCAGATCACACCAGCCCAGGCTGTTCAGTTAGTACCAGATTGAGTTCATTTTGGGGGGCAATGTCTAGAGAATCAAGGTGGAGACATCGACCAAGGGCGGGCCCGGCAGGGGCAGCAAGGTGCACATTATTGACTTGCAGTAGCCTGCGTCCATTGTCTGCCAATGTTTACGTGTGACCAGCCCTGCCAGTCAGATGCAAAGGCATTCCATAAGTCAGCATGCTGCTAGACTGCTCTCATTGTCCCTCTTTGGGCCACAGGCTGGGCATATTGTGTCCCCAACTCCCACCTCTGTTATCCAGCCTCAGCCAGCAAGGTACAGGAGAGACAAGAGACAGCCACGCACAGACAGACCCCAGAGTCTTTTCCCGACTACAGGGCCTAAGCTTCCTTGAGCCCTTTGCCAAACAGATGGGTGAGTTTTGTTTTCAATGTCCAATTGAAACTGTGCCCATGTGCTTTCTCTCGCTTCACTGGGCCAAATGTGATAAGCTGTCTCCCAGTACAATGCCAACAGGGCTAACACCTGAAACCCAGCTCACCACCCTGTGATGGCAAAAGGCAACCTCCAGATTGGTCTTGTTCATGGGGAGCACACACCTCCAACTGCACCTCCCCAATGGACCACTAGCTCTGAGGTCAGGTGAGAAGGCTAAATTAATTTAACAGCATCTAAATTATGAGCTTTATCATGAGTTTGGGGGTCAGAAAAGCTGTTCATCCTCCAGAAAGGCAACGAAATGTCTCTGTGAGCTCTGAACAGAGCAGAGACTGCTCTCAGAGGCTGAGGAGAGGAAGAAAGGAAAGCCAATTTTCCAGCGGGGATCCTGAGCACGCCTCCTCCAGCCTCCCAGGTCCCAGGGCCCACTTCCCAGCTTCCTGCCCATCACCCACCAGCAATTACAGAAGAAAGGGCAAGGTCCTGGGGACACTAGGATAGGGGCTGGGACATCAGGAGGCCCCTCTGTTTGGAGCCTGTCACCTTTGGGTCTCTGTTGATTCTGAGGTTAGCCCATGCTGGGCTGTTGCCTTGGTACCCCTATGCCTCTCAGCACCCCTTGCTCTCGGTAGAACTAAGAAGCCATCCTACTGACAGCAGTTGAGAACATAGAAGGAAAGAAGTGGAACCACAGAGCTCATCATGCCCTGCAGAGGAAAAACTCTGGCCCCTCCATCGTGTTGGTGATCTGGGTGGCACCCACACCCATGTCTGAGGCAACACTGCAGGTGACAGAGACCAGACAAAGAGCCAGAGGCCAGGAGCTCCCAATAAGTGAAGTCCCTGGGCTCTGGAAGTGGCAAATCCCCAGAGAGCGATGTCTAACTCAACAAGAGGGCTGTTTCAAACAACGTGGAAAACTGCTGAGTGTGAGCTGAAGGACCACAGGATGGCACCAGGAGCACACACTCTGGCCTAGCAAGCTTCCCCAGGGTGAGCCCTGTCCAGGGTGTGAAGAGGGCGTGAGCCTTCACACCTCACAGTGCTTCCTTTAAAACCTGCCTGTTTGCCCCTTGGGTGGCAAATCGCATTTCTCGTTTACCTGTGACAGTTTAACTTCCTGTCCAACCCAGCAACTGGCTGGCCTGAACCCTGGGACACCTAACAGAAATGCAGAACTGATTGAAACCGGTTTGGCTCAGTGGATAGAGCATCGGCCTGCGGACTGAAAGGTCCCGGGTTCGATTCCAGTCAAGGGCATGTACCTTGGTTGCGGGCACATCCCCAGTAGGGGGTGTGCAAGAGGCAGCTATTCGATGTTTCTCTCTCATCAATGTTTCTAACTCTCTATCCCTCTCTCTTCCTCTGTAAAAAATCAATAAAATATATTTAAAAAAAAAAAAAAGAAGAAGAAGAAGAAGAGGAAGAAGAAAAGAAATGCAGAACTGCAGCAGGAGCCAGTCTTCAGCCTGCTCCTCCCAAACTGCAGCCCTATTTTATTTGTAGGGTTTCCATTTGTTCTCAAAGATGTTAGGATCAAAAGTTTCTGACCCTGCTCTCTCCTAGGACCTTCTCTTCCTACTGGCCACTGAAGTATGGATAATTCAGCAGGAGTTCTCTTGCCCCGTTGGCTGTGGTCACTGTCACCCGGGTGTCCCAGGCCATGTGTGCAGGTGGCTTTAGAAATACCACTCACGGAGCAGGTGGCTGTGTTTCTCATAAGAAGCTTCTGTTAAAGAAAACATCCCTGTTTCTCACGGAGCCTTGCTGACCAGGATCCAGGCATCGGTGCTGTTAGTTCGGGCTGGGCAGCTAAGAGGGCCAACATGCATTGATTTTCGGGAGGACACTCACTTGGCCTCACTCGGACAAGCAAGCCCACACTCTCCAGCTCCTTCAGAACTGTCAGTGACAAAGCAAGGCAGGAGGACACTTATTTGAAACATGATCATTTTTATTCACTGCAAAACTCAAGTCTGGCCTAAAGGAAGGCCGACTATGTCATCTTTTCTGTGGTAGAACATTTTGTTTGTTTTAACTAACAACTTAGTGATTTGTCTGATCACAAAATCAGCTTCATATTACTCCTGCTAAGTGTCACTTTTTTACAAGAATGGGAGTTTTACAAATCACAGTTTTGAGAGAAGACCAAGCTCATGCCTACTCTTTTAACAGTTTGGTCACAACTATTTAAAAATGTATTATGCAAAAAATACTGAAGAAAAATACACCAAACTGTCAACTTTAGACAGAGGCTATAGGTGATTCTTGTATTTCTTTCTTGCATTTTGATTATTTTCTAGATTTTTAAATAATAAGCATGGATAATTTTACTTGGATAACTTGGATGGCAGGTCTCAGGTGGGCCCCTCTCCAGCCCTTTTGTAACCTGGGACTGTGAACCAATAGCTCTGTGGCCACACCGTGTGTTTCAGTGCTGGTGGTGGAGCTTCTGCCGGTCACTTTGAGGAGCCCACAGCGACTGTTCTCCTTGCAGGTGCAGGAGCCACCGTGGGGGTTTCTGCCCACTTGTCCAGCACTGCGGGCAGCAGCACCCTCTCTCCTTTCCACCGAGCCCATAAAGGTAGGCAGGGTGCTAACCACCTAGATGTAAGTGGGGGGAGTGGGTGGCTGGAGAGGAAGAAAGGAAATAATTATTAGAAATGGCCACGAAGCCGGGACTGGTTTGGCTCAATGGATAGAGCATCGGCCTGCGGACTGAAAGGTCCCGGGTTCGATTCCAGTCAAGGGCATGTACTTTGGTTGCGGGCATATCCCCAGTAGGGGGTGTGCAAGAGGCAGCTGATCAATGACTCTCTCTCATTGATGTTTCTAACTCTCTATCTCTCTCCCTTCCTCTCTGTACCAAAATCAATAAAATATATTTTTTTTAAAAGAAAGAAAGAAAAGAAAAATGACCACAAGCTCTTCTCCACTTCAAATCACCTTCCTCCTGTGATTTAATCATACTCACTGCCCCCAGCTCTAGAAATTAGAAATATCTCTGTGAGGAGGGGAGCTGCTCACTCCATGGGTGTGGCAATGCTGCTCAGGACGAGTGTGGCAGGGTGGAGAGGAGCCAGCTTCCTGAGCTGTGGTGGCTCTGATGTCAACAGCAATTCTGTTGCAGGCTTTCATCTGACCTGCTGGTCTCAATACTTAAATATCTGTTCTCAATAAGTACGTGTTACTCCCCAGTCTCTTTGGGGTGGAAGGATGGGGGAGGACCCCCAAGGTCAACAGTTTCTCTGAGAGCAAGACCTCATACTGGCTCCTCATCCCCTCTTGTACAGTCGCAATGTCATCTGTGGTTTAAGTATATTTATGGCCCGGTGCCCAGTGAGGCAGGGTTGCCTTCAGATTCCCACAGTGCACTCAACACACATGCCGGCTTCCCAAAGCAGTCAAACCAAAGGCAAGCACCCCAGGAATAACTGAGCAAGTACAAGCCATGGCATTGCGGGATGGCCAAAGAAACTTGTAGGGTTGGGTTCTCAGACTAAGCAAGCATTTCTGATTAGTCCCAGGAAGTGTCCCAGAGCCATTGTTCACAGGGGCATGGTCTTAACGAGAAAGGACCCTGCCTGGTGGATGGGTTCCTGTAGGGATGCTTGAGTCCTAAGGCATTGCCTTCTCTCCTCAACTTCAGCAGAGCTCTCAGGCCAAGGACACCTGGCTGCGGCTCTGATCATTGCCATGTCCACCATCTTTATCATGGCCATCGCCATCGTCCTCATCATCATGTTCTACATCATGAAAACAAAGCCTTCTTCCCCAGGTGACTGTTCCCCATGCCTGCCTCTTATCCCCTCTCCCCTGAATAGCCCCATCTCCTTACCAGTCGAGCCCAGCTGCTCACACACTTCTCTTTCTCTAACTAGCCTGCTGCACCAGCCATTCAGTGAAGAGTGTGGAAGCCCAAGTGAGCCAGGAAGGAGAGAAGAAAGAGGCCCAAGGTCTGCAAACAGAGTCCCCACAAGCATGGGTGTCTGTCTTCAGGGTGGAGATTGTCTGACCCTCTTGCCACTAACCTGGCAGCCTGGCCTTCTAACTGGCTATGCTCTTCTGCCACTTAGTGCAGGGGTCCTAGGAAAGGGTGTCAGTGCAGCCACGTGGTGCTTAATCTTCAGGGCATTGTGATTTAGTCACCAAGTAAGTCTGCTACAGAGGAAGTGAGCAGCGGGAGGACAAGCTCAGAGCTGGAGCCGACACTAACTCCTCCCTCCCCCAATCTTTCCCACAGACAGTGTGGTGATTTTCTCTGAAAAGGACGAATTTGAGAAACTGACAGCAGCTCCAGCAAAGACTGCCAAGAGGTATGTCAAACCAAAGCATGCCCAGTTCCAGGCTGAAGTGAAGAGTCCTTGGGGGTCCTGAGTAGGAAGGGCAGCTGGCCACGTGGGTGAGAAGTGCTCTGAGAAATCTGGCAGCTGGCTGGAGGTCGTGCTGGGGACAGCTCCAGAAAGAGCAACCAACGGCCAGCCAGCAAGGTAGTCCTAGTCAACCTGGAGCCTCAGCCTCACTGTTGGGCTGCAGCAGGGCCAGGTGGTATTAGGGAAAGGTGGTGAACACCTGCCATCCTCCAGGGCCAGATGCCCCACGCCTTTCTCTGCAACATGCACCTGCTTCGTGCAGACCCTACAGCTGCTGTGTGCCCCTTTCTCTCCAGCAGCCTGGTTAATATGACTGCCGCTGCTGGCCGTGCACAAGTGACGGCACAGTGCTGACACCAGGACTGATGTCCCCATGATACTGCAGCAGTGGTGATGGAGACGGCTACCACATACCTGGTGCTGGTTACCTCCAGTGTGCCTGTGCTGCCTTCATAAACCCTTTGAGCAAGGTGCTAACATTGCACACATTTGTAGGAAGCTGTCATGGGCCTACAGTCACCTAGGGAGTGGCAGGGCAGGGGGCCGAGTCCAGGCCATCTGGCTGCAGTGTGTGTTCCACAGGCTCTGACCCAAGCGCTAACACTTAGAGAAATAAAGCCCCTTAAGGAAGAGATTGGATGCATGAAGTCTTTACCATATTTACCACACACACACATTGGGATGTGGAATCAGCTCCAGCTTTAACATTGAGAGTGAAGGGAAGTAAACTTTTTTTTAAAATCCTCACCCAAGGATAAATTCCCATTGACTAGAGAGAGAGAAACATTGATCAGTTGCTTCCAACACGCACCCTGACCAGGGATTGAATCTGTACCAGGAATGTACTCTGACTGGGAACTGAACCCATGATTTTTCCACGTATGATACGACACTCCAGCCTTCTGAGTCACCTTGCCAGGTCACTTGTACTTAGTCCTGCTTAGATTCCAAAAATCCATCCCATGGTAATAGTCCACCCATGGCTGTCCCAGGACCCCATCCAGGCAAACTGCCCCGTGGCAGATGCGGGCAGAGGCCCTGTAGAGTCAGCAAGCTGAGGAAGAGCAGCGGGTCTGCCCCGCTTCCCTGGCTCCCGGCAAGGGAGCTTTCCGGGGGACTTGACCCTGGCAGAGCCTGCTTTTTAGGGATGATAATGAATCAAGATGTTTGCATGGAGCTTTGCCATTTATAAAGCACTACCCAACGTGTTATCTCATTTAGAAAACTCAATATCCTGACACAAGGGTAGGAAGCAAACTTAGATCACTGGGAAAGAAAAGCAATTGTGTGTGCTCATCTTGGCAGTCCTGTAGAAAATGGTTGTTTCTGATAAGTGCCTCTGTTGCCAATGGTCATATTTCAAAACCTCACAAATGTTTGGTCTGAGCAACTTCGTGCACATCTGGCAAAGGTATGCCAGGTCCAAGCTGCTGTTAATAGGAGGGAAACCAGGCTGGCAGCTGTGTGACAGGGACTGGGCTTGGCAGTGTGCCTCTTGCAGACAAGATGCTCCTTCAGCCTTCCTCTGTCCAATCCCATGTGGTGTCAGCCACTCTCCATCTGACCTTCCAGCCTTTTCTCATTGCAAGAGGAGAGGGCCGGGGGGCCCGGGGACGGGAGGTAGAACACTCAAAAGTGCCGGGACACATTCTAAGACTTAAGTTTCCTCAAAAGCTAAGGAAATATTTTGGGACCCTACTTGTTTCATACACAAATGTTAAATAAAAAGTAACACTCAACAATTGTTTTAAAAGACAAGGCTCTGAGCTTTCATCTCCCTCCGCCTTCTCTCAGGTTTTAGGGGAAGGGCCTGAGGCCACTCAGTGGTCTGTGGACAGTGGTGCCTTCCCACCTGGCCTGCACACAGGTGAGGCCAGCAGCAAGCCAGCCAACTCTCCCAGGGGGCGGAACCCTGGGGGTGTCTCTCACCATTTCTCCTTTCTTTATATCATTCTGTCCCCACGGTTATGTTGGTGTGGGCTTCCTTACTGCAATCCAGTTATTAGCAAATATAATTCTTTAGCCAAACCACAGGAAACAAAGCAGGATGCCTATTTAAAAAAGAATATTGTTTTCATATATTTGGAATGATTTTGAGAGTTTGAGCTTCAACCCGCATGTGCTTAGGGGTGTGGGCTGGGTGGTGAGCAGCAGTGTGACTGAGCCACCCGCCTCCCTGCAAGATTTCCCAGACCCCCTCCCTGGGCTGCTGTGGTCTCACATCCCAGCACCCCCTCCCGGGCGCCCCAGGCTCAGCTCTGTGTGTATGCATGGGCTTTGTGTTCAGTTACCCCAGAGAGCTGTGATCAAGTCGGTGCCCCGCCACATCACCTTATTTGCTACATGAAGACACAAGGTTAAACTCTTTGCTTCCCTGGATGAAATAGAGAAAGCCATAGCATATTCAAGAACCCTTTCCCAAACTGGGTGGGGTGGAGGGGTGAGCTGGTGCCATCCCTACCTCACTGGCCCCTGCAAGTCCTCCTCACCCAGTGCCTGTGGGTCACCCTGCATCCACCCTCCTTGTCCAGACAAAATGGAGAGCAGGCTGAGGCTTCTCACATTGTGCCCAGGAGATGCTGAGTAGAAGCTTAAGAACCTGGTCCCTGCTCCGCCCACCGCTGGAAGGACTGCAGGTGGTGGCACTTTCCCAGGCAGCGCTAATGAACCCTTCTTTTTTTTTCTTTTTTTCAATATATTTTATTGATTTTTTTTACAGAGAGGAAGTGAGAGAGATAAAGAGCTAGAAACATCGATCAGCTGTCTCCTGCACACCGCCCGCAACCAATGTACATGCCCTTGACCGGGATCGAACCTGGGACCTTTCAGTCCGCAGACCTACGCTCTACCACTTAGCCAAACCGGTTTCGGCTAAGAACCCTTCTTGTTTCCACAGTGAGAACGACGCCTCCTCTGAGAACGAGCAGCTGCTGAGCCGGAGCATGGACAGTGATGAGGAGCCCGCCACTGACAAGCAGGACTCCCCGGAGCTGTGCCTGCTGTCGCTGGTCCACCTGGCCAGGGAGAAAGCCGCCACCACCCCCAAGTCAGCCGGGGTGAGGCGCTAGCAGCCCAGGCGCACACCTTGCGATTCTCTGTGCAGCCCTAACGCACCGGGAGACACGCCCCTTCTCCAATGAGCCTGCTGTGGGGCGTGGCGCTACTCCCACCGCCCAAGTTAGCAAACTCAGATGGAGGGACAGATTTAAAGCAAAATATTATAAAAATAGAAAACTTATTTATCTTATGTAGCTTCATAGAAGAAAATAAATAAGCAAAGACAATAAGTTAAAATTGCTTGGAATGCTATAGGACAGAAAAAACTTTGTAAATATACTGCCATATATCCAACCACACATATAATAGTTAAATATAACTATTTATAATATATGAATACATAGTTATATACTATGTGAATGCATAGCTATATACTGTATGAACAAATAGCTGTGTACTATATGACCACATAGCTATCTATCGACATAGCATGCACATTTTCAGGTAAAAAATGCTCCACACGGTTTATCACCTGAAGCAGGCCACCTCACAGGTGCTGTGGAGGGGGTGGGGCTGCCTGCCCCAGGCTGCCTGACAGTCTAGCATCCAAGCCTCAGGGCAACTGTGTTGCTAGGTAATGCTGCTCTTGGTAAAAGTGTCCCTTATAATTAGAGACTGGACTGGGCCTGGGTTCTGACAGAGACATCACGGGCTGTCCAGTTCAGTGACCTCTGCAGTGGGGCTGGTCACTTGTTGAACCTGGAGGCCTAGGGGGTGGATACGAGGGGGCCTTCCAAGCAGGGCTAGTTCTATACCTGCCCGTTAGGGGCCTCCCCTCTTGGCCTCCTGCCAGCAAGCTGCAGTCCCTGGCATTTGCCCTCCAAACAGACCTGTGCACATGTGGCCTCTGGTTGTTTTATGAGTCAAGGAAGTCTGCTGGAGGGCAGGAGCAGTGCTCGAGCTGGACGCCCAGAAAAAGGCGTGCTCTCTGAGTTATGGATAAGATATTTGTGTGGGGCCTTGATTCAGCATGTCCAGCTGGAAATCAGGGGACAGCGGCTCTCTGCCAACACTGAGATGGAAGAGTAGATTCATTGTTTTCTGCCATTCCCTCCTTTCTGAAAATTAACATTCTCTATTTTTATAGATTCAAAGTCGAAGGAAAAAGATACTGGATGTGTATGCCAACGTGTGTGGAGTTGTCGAAGGTGAGCATAGAAGGACTGTCCGGGGGCACGCCCCCAGGTCTTGCTTTCTAACCGGAGGCGAGGAGGGGGCCCTGACAGGAATCCTGGCGCTCTGGGGAGGAGCCGAGAAAAGTCACCCATCCAACTTCCTCATCAGAAGCTCTGGCTGAACTGATTTCAGATGGAGGGACATGGAATTTGATTCCAAGCTATGTTAGCACATTTCCCCAGCATTTCCCATCGGCCCTCCTTTCCCTTCAGGCCAGGGAGCCAGCATTCCCCAGTGCAGGGCCTCGCTGAGGGGAATACGCAGTCAGGAGAAAGCAGGGGTGGAGGGCTAGATGTCTCCCAGACCCCACGGGCTGTCTCTTTTTGGCATTATATCTTCAAAATGTTTGATAATCATCACTTATCCAAAATGTGGTGGCCGCCCTTCCCTTCCCTCTCGCTGGCAGTGTGTGGAGGTGTCCTCTCGTAAGGATGTCTCCTAAGCAGACTGAATCATACTGCCTTACTAACTGCAGTTTAGAGTGTGGGCAGGATGAGTTTATATTTCTAATTATATTTCTATCTGAAACCAGAATCTGCACTCCCAATTTCTGCCAAATGAAGTTTCTATGTTACCATCTTGTCTTCAGAAGATAAAACTCATCCTTGAGGTTAGGGGGTTTTCCCGGCTTCATCGGGCCACTTGGTTTGGTCTCACTGGTGCCCTCCATGGACTTCTCCATATGCCCAGGCAGCAGGTGTTTAGCCTGGTACTCACTCATTTCTCCACTTGGGCCAAGCCCAGCACACTGAACCCAGGGCAGGCTTACTGGCTGGTGTTCTGGTAGTCAAAAACAACTCCTGAGGGCCACACGCTCTCTTCAAAAGCTCTGAGTGTTGAAATGTGGCCTCTCTCCACCAGTCATATCCCAGGTCAGCCTGTTCGACCCAGCAGGCTGGGAGCCATCAGCTGCCAGTGGAGGATGGTCTGAGATTTGTATCTATCACCCAGAAAGGTGATTAGAATTCTATCTTCTTGGCTCCAACAATGTCTTTATTTTAAGAGCCCAGACCCCAGGGACAGCGATTTTTCAAATTAATTTTCGGATAGAGGAGCTCCTCCGTGAGGCTGGAAGGATGAAGGGCTTGAAGCCTGTGCACTCAGCTGCCCTCTCATGTGCCTCCAGCACCCACGGTGCCGCTGAGAACAAAGACCCGCAGGGCCCAGTCTTGAGTGAACATTAGGCCCTCGGAGAGTCTTACACTGGTTCCCTCTACACCCCTGCCCCAAAGCCCCGATGTAATTGGTCTGGGATGAGTCCCAGGCATCCGTGTCTCTTGTCGTGTTTTTAATTAAACGTTTCCTTTTGAGGTCATCGTATTGGTAAGAGATAAGACAGAGAAGTCATGTGATACTCTCCCCAGTTTCTCCCAATGGTAACATCTTGCCAAGCCATCCGTAAAGTCACAACCAGGATATCCACATGGATGCACTGCAGATCGTCCACAAGGATGTCTCTGCTTGCCCTTTTATAGCCACACTCACTTCCTAGCTACCCCACCCCCTGGCAACCACTAATTTGTTCTTCATTTCTATAGTTTTGTAATTTCAAAATTGTAATATAAGTAGAATCATACATACTGTAAACTCTTGCAAATGTATTTTTTCATTAAGCATAATTCATTGAAGATTCATCCAGATTGGCACATGTATCATAGTTTCTTTTTATTTCTAACTAGTAATCTGTGTTAAGGATGTACCACAATTTGTTTAATCACTCATTCATCCATTTAAGAACATCTTAGTTGTTTCCATTTGGGGACCATTACAAATAAAGCTGCTGTAAATAATCATGTAGAGGGTCTTATGTGAACATGAATCATTATTTCTCTGTGATAAATGCCCAGAATTGTTGAGTGGTATGGTAGAGTAGTGTTGTTTAAAACTTCCAAACGACTTTCCAAAATGGCTGTACCATTTACATTCTTACTAGCAATGTATGAGTGATCCAGTTTCTCCACATCCTTGCCAGCATTTGGTGGTGTTACTATTTTTTTATTTTAGTCATTCTGGTATGTGTATTTGATATCTCACTGTGGTTTTTATCTGTATTTTCTTCATGTTTGAGCATCGTTTCATGGGCTTATTTGCTATCCGAAATGTTTCTTCATGTCTTTTGCCTATCTTTCAAGTGGATTGTGTGGGTTTTTTTTATTTTATTTATTTATTTGTTTATTTATTTATTTATTTATTTATTTATTTATTTTTTGCTGTTGAGTTTTGGAAGCTTTTCAATTTTGTGATTTGCAGATATTGCACTTTGTATCTTGTCTTTTCATTCTCTTAATAGGATAAGTCATATTTATCATTTTCCTCCTATAGATTGCTTTTGGTATCAAGGCTAGGATCACTTTGCCTAGCTCTAGATCCCAATGATTTTTTTCTAAAAGTTTTATATTTTGCACATAAGTCCATGAGCAGTTGGAGTTAATTTTCACATAATATGAGACTTAGGTTGAGGTTTTGTTTTGTTTTTTCCTCTACATGTTCACTTCCTCCTGGAACATTTGTTGAAAAGACTCTTTTCTCCATTGAATTACTTTTGCACCTTTGTCAAAAATCAGCTTGGGCATACTTGTGTGAGTGTATTTCCTGGGTTCTCTGTTCTTTTGCATTGATCTGTGTGTCTATTCCTCTGCCAAAATCACATAATCTTGATTGCCATATTTATATAAGTCTTGAAATCAAATAGACTGATTGTTCCCACTTTATTCTTTTTTCTTTATTGTTTTAGCTATTCTAGTTCCTTTGCCTTTTCATATAAATTTTAGAATAATTGTTCCCATATCTACAAAATATTTTGCTGGGATTTTTATAGGAATTGCAGCAAACCTGTATACCAAGGTTTGGGAAATTTGACATCTATACTATCTAAACCATGAAAATGGCATGTCTCTTCATTTATTTAGATTTTCTTTTATCTCTTTCACCATATATAGTTTTTAGAATATAAGTCCTGTTACTATTTTTGCTAGATTTATGCCTAAGTATTTCATTTATTTTTGAATGATTACAAATGATATTTTTTGTTAATTTTAGTGTATGTTTTAATTGCTAGCATATAAAAATATAATTCATTTTGTGTGTGTCTATCTTATATTCTGCAGCCTTGCTGAAGTCACTTATTAGGTTTAGGAGTTCTCTGGTAGATTCCTTGATAATCACCCAGATAATCACATCTGCAGATGGGGACAATTTGATTTCTTTTTTTTTTAATCTATTGCCCTTCCTGCCTCATTACACTGGCTATAACTTCAGCATCATGTTGACTAAGAATGAGGAGAGCAGACATCCTCGCCTTGTTCCTGATCTTGGAGGGAAAGCACTCAGTTTTTCACTATTAAGTATAACATTAGCCTAGGGTGTTTTCTGTTTGTTTGTTTGTTTGTAATTTACATTAATTTTGTGAATAGATTACATTATTTTTAAAATATTGAATCAGTCTTGTATTCCTGGAATGTTGAATTCTATTGTCTAATCATTTTTTAGGATTTTGCATCTACTAGTACATTCAAGAGGGATATTGGTCTGTAGTTTTCTCTTTTTTGGTACTGGTTTCGGTATCAAGCTAATACTAGTTTCACAGAATAAGCGGGGAGTGTTTCCTCCTTTTCTGTTGTCCAGATTTTATGTAGAATTGGTGTTGATTCTTTGAATTTTGGTAGAGTTTTCCAATGGAACAATGTGAACCTATAAATTTTTTGGGGGGTAGTGATTTTTAAAACTACAAATTCTACTTCTTCAATCATATTAAGGCTGTTCAAATTATCTAAACTGGGTGAGTGGTAGTAGCTTATGCTTTTTGAGGAATTGTTCCATTTCATCTAAGTTGTCAAATTTATGTGTGTATTCCCTTATTATCTTTTTACATCTTCATGGTCTGTAGTGATATGCTCAATTGCTTGATATTGATAATTTGTGTTATATTTCTTTATTTCTTTATTTAAAAATCTTACTAGAGATTAGTCCATTTTGTTGATCTTTTCAAAGAACTGGCTGGCTCTTTTCAAGTTTAGCTCTATTGTTTTTCTTTTTTCAATTGCATTGATTCATGCTCTTTATTATAGTTTTCTTTCTGTTTACTGTGGGTATATTTTGCTAATCTTTTTCTAGATGCTTGAGATGGGAGCTTAGATTATTGATTTGAGATGTTTCCTCTTTGGTAATATTTTTATGTATTTTGAAACATATGTATTCCTCTCATACTGCTTTAGGTGTGTCCTACAAATTTTGATATGTTGAATTTTCATTTTAAATTATTTTTAAATTTTTCTTTCTAATTCTGTGTTGACTCCTGGGTTATTTAGAAGTGTTTGTTTAGCCCTGATAGTACACCAAATGCATGAACAATGGTGCAAGACAGAGGCCCGGTGGACAGCGGAGCTCTTAGCTTGCAGTGGGAGTCAGCTCTGTGGGGCTATCCCCAGTGCCAGGGCTCTCCTGGAGGAGGGGGGCGGGCTGCAGGGCAGGATGTGACTGCCAGTGGCCCGCCCCAACCTGGGAAGCACCAATAGCTTTTGGTTCCAGAACCTCCCAGAAAGATGAGGATCCCTACATCTCTCCTCCCTTGTCCCCATTCAAACTAATCTTCTTAGAACAGAAAGTCAAGGAAGCTGGCAGAAACCTAATAAAGGTCTCTAAAAACAGTGTTTCAGCCTTTGAAAAATAAACCATGTCTATAAATGCATTAACTCCATGGGGAAATGAATGAAATTTGGTTCAAATTCAATCTCTGCTTAAAAAAAAAAAAAATTGTATTATTTAATTTCCAAATGTGTGTCAAGATTTTCCTATTATCTTTCTGTTGTTGACTTACAGTTTGAGTTCATTGTGAGGATACATTCTGCATACAGTTTCAGTTCGTTTAAATTTTTTTGTTGAAGTATATGGCCTGCACTTGAAAAGAATGTATATTCTGTTATTATTGGTTGGAGTGTTCTGTAAATGTTGATTGGATTATTTTGGATAATGGTGTGGTTAAGTTCTATATTGTAATTATTCTACCAGTTACTGAGGAAGAGGGTTGAAGTTTGCAACTATAATTGTGGATTTGTCTGTTTATTCTTTTAGTTATATCAGCTTTTATTTCACGTCTTTGGGGCTCTGTTGTTCTATGCATACATGTAAAGGTTTGCTCTATCTTCTTTCTGAATAGACCCTTTTATCATTATATTATGTCCCTCTAAGTCTCTGATAATTTCCCTTATTCTGAAGTCTACTTTATCTGCTGTGATAGCCACTTCTGCTTTCCTTTTATTAATGTTTACATGATTTATCTTTTCCTAACATTTTACTTTCAACCTGTCCACAGTGTTTTTACTAGCCATTATTTTACTAGCTTCAGTGACATATATAAACCTTACCTCCCTATGTCCTTTTCTGTTTATAGTTGTTTTATATATTTTCTCTACATATAGTTAGAACCACATCTGTTGCATCAACTTACAATAATAATTCAGAAAACTTAAAAAGGAAAAAAAAAGCCTATTATATTTATTCAAATTATGCTTACTGTGTTCTTTTCTGATGTTCCAAGGTTTATTCTTTTATTATTTCCTTTTTGTTTAGAGACATCCTTTAGTTGTTCTTTTAGGGTAGCTGTGGTAGTGACAGATTCCTTTCGTTTTTCTTTATCTTGAGAATGTCTTGATTTTGCCTCCATTCTTAAAGGATATTTTCACTGGTATAGGATACTGGGTTGACAGCTCTTTTCTTTCGTTACTGGAAAACACTGCCACTTCCCTCTGCTTCCATATTTCTGTTCAGAAACCCACTGTCATTCTAATTGGTTTTTTTTTCCCTATCGGTAATATGTGGCTTTTCTCTGGCTGCATTTAAGACTTTCTTGTCTTTAGTTTTCAGAAGTCTATTTCTGATGTGTCTGGATATGACTTCCTTTGAGTTTTTCCTGTTTAGAGTTTTATCAGATTTTTTAAAAAATATATTTTATTGATTTTGTGCAGAGAGGAAGGGAGAGAGATAGAGAGTTAGAAACACTGATGAGAGTCATCCATCAGCTGCCTCTTGCACACCCCCTACTGGGGATATGCCCGCAACCAAGGTACATGCCCTTGACCGGAATCGAACCCAGAACCTTTTAGTCCCCAAGCCGACGCGCTATCCATTGAGGCAAACCTGTTTCGGCAGAGTTTTATCAGATTTTTTAATCTGTAGGCTTTTGTGTCTTTCCACGTTAGGAAATTTTTCAGCCATTTTTTTTTTTTTTAAGCTCCACTTTCTTTCTCACCTAGGACTCCATGAAACATATATGAGACTTTTGGTCACAGGGTCACAGGTCCGTAGGGCTCTGAGTCTTTCAGTTTGTTTTATCTCTGTTGTTCAGATTCAATAATTTCCATTCCATTATCCAGTTCACTAGCTCTTTCCTCTGTCTTTATTCTGCCATTAAACATATCTAATGAGTTTTCTATCTTTTGCTTTCAATTTTTTTTCAAGTGTGTTTGAAATTATTTTTGTGATATTTTTTATCATGGCTTACTTAAAAGCTTTGTCGGATAATTTTAACATCAGTGTTGGTAGCTATTGGTTGTCTTTTTATTTTTTCTCGTTGATTTTTGTGATGTTTCTGGTTCTTGGTAGGATGAGTAGTGTCTATTGAACCTGGGTTTTTATGTCATGTTATGGATCTTAAGCCTTCTATTGCAGCGGGCGCCCAGGGGTGCCTCTGTGGTGGGGGCGGGTGCCACCTTGTTGCTGGCAGGTGCGGTGCAGATAATGTTCAAGTTCCCACTCAGCCTTATTTGACATCCAAGTGTTGGCTCCTTTTTATTGCTGGTTTGAGAGTGGGAATCTGTTTCTCCAAGTGGTCTCCACTGATACAAAGGGAGTTGGGGGGGCTTGTTACTAGCTGATAATAGGAAAGTCCAGGCTCCCTACTTAGCCTTCCCTGACACCATCGGGTGCAGGATTGTAGCCAGACTCCTCAGTCAGCCTTTGTTGGCCATGGTGATGGTGAAACCACAGTTTTTCTGTGGTGTTTGGTTGCAATAAAGCATTATTGTCTAAATGTTTTCTTCTTGCTAAGCTTCTGTTTTCCTAGTGCTTTAATTAGAGAGAACAGGCTTTTGTTGAAGGTATTTTTGTTATTGTTGGAATTTGGATTGCTGAACTATTCAGCTCCATGATTTGGATGATGAGGCAAAAGAAAACCCAAGGAACTCACCACTGTATTATTGCTCCAGTCCTGAGGTCCTCGGCAGTTTTTTTTTTCTCCATTTTCTAGAATCCTTATATGTTTGCTTTATACATAGTGCCAGGGATTTAGCTCTACTTACCCAGAAAAATATTTCATCTTCCAGAAGTGGCAACACATCAATTTTTTAAAATGTTTCTAAGTGAATCTATGTATAGCAAAGTCTGTGAACCACTGAGTTGGCTCAGATTTCTCAAACACTAAGTCTGGTCTGTCTTTGAGAGCACCTTTCGTAAAGGTTACTACTGTCCCCATAAAGGGACATGATACTATCCCTTTGACTTCCTTCCTGGCCCAGGTCCAAGTATGCAGGGTTACTCAGCTAAGAGTAGCCTGTGTGGAAGGCTTCGGTGACTGCTGAAAATGGTCGAGAGGATAACGGTCACTGTCAATATGGTTACGGTGGTTATTTTCTTAGGAGGAGAAAGGCCATTATTGAGGTTTAGGAAAAGATTTCTCATGTGGCTGCCGAAGTCCTGGGTACTGTTGGCCTTAAGCTATTTATTTTTAGTGTTTTTCTGTATCTGTGTTTTACTTTACATATTTTTAAAAATAAATGTCATGGTGTTGCCTTCTGTTGACTGCCATCTGCAGCATCTGACTGTGGCCCTTTGTCTCCACAGGGCTCAGCCCTACTGAGCTGCCATTTGATTGCCTTGAGAAGACCAGCAGAATGCTCAGCTCCACATACAACTCGGAGAAGGCTGTTGTGAAAACGTGGCGCCACCTTGCAGAGAGCTTTGGACTAAAGAGGGACGAGATTGGGGGCATGACAGATGGCATGCAGCTCTTTGATCGCATCAGCACAGCAGGCTACAGCATCCCAGAGCTGCTCACAAAGCTGGTGCAGATAGAGCGGCTGGACGCAGTGGAGTCCCTGTGTGCGGGCATACTGGAGTGGGCCGGCGTCCTGCCCCCTGCCTCCCCGCTGCCCGCTGCGTCCTGAAGCCACGCCTGCGGACCGCTCTTCCTGGGATGCACCAAGGACCCAATGAAAGCTCAGGATCAAATGAGGACTCTAGAGCTGTGGGTGATGCCAACAGATGACCAAGAATCAAGGGTATGTTACCAGGGTATACCTTAGGCTGTTTCAAGAAACAAGAGGAAATGAGGCCGTCTTCCACTCAACTAAACAGAAAAGACTAAAGCTAGGATACTCCCAGTACCCACCTGCAGCTCACCAGATTGAATAAATATTTATTCAGCTAGTCCACTCACCATGAGCTTGTTTAAGGGATATTGTTGAGTACTCAAGTGAGCCAAACAATGTGGGGATGACAGAAGTGAAGAATCTGGTCCCTGTTTAATAAGTTTACAACCCAGGGAGAGACAGAGACATGTCCACAAGCCACCTTGCTAGAAATATCAAACAATCTGAATGAGGGGATTCTAAGAAAATGTAATAAAAGTTCTGAGAGAGAGCAATGCTTCCCACTGAGATGGTGAGGCAGCATTTTCATGAGGAAAGCAGCTCGGGAGTTTGGTGAAATGACTACAAAATGCAGACACCACAACCCTCCCCCTCCCCCTGCATGTATTGTTTCTGGATCAATACAAGTGGGTTCATAGGATAACTGCCTGTTTCTGAGGCCATCGTATTCCTGCAGCCATCTGGTCACTAATGGGAGAACTTGCTCTGGAGCCTGCTTTATGTCACTGATAGGAAGGCATATGTCTGTCTAATCAAGGAGACCTGTGCAGAAGTCAATTTTATTTATTGCATGAGTTCTAGGCCTGGGGACCCAGTTGTTTTTTATAACAAACTAGAGGCCCGGTGAAAATATTTGTGCACTGGTGGGGTCCAGCTGGCCTGCCCAATGGGGGTTAATCAGGCCAAGCCAGCAGCGGGGAGAAACCATGGGCAAGCCCTGCCCCCTATTGGGGTGAGTGTGGGCCAATCGGGGGCAGGGCCGGCTGAGGAGAGGGGCTGCGGGCAGTTGGCCAACCATCCCCACTCCTGTATTGGGGGCCAACACAGAGCCAGGCTGGCGGGGGGAGGGGGGGGCGGGCAGCTGATTGGGGCCCAGATCAGGCTGGTTGGCTGCCACACTGCTCATCATAACTACCAGTCATTCTGGTTATTCTGGTCATTCTGCCATTCTGGTCCCTGGACTTTTTATATATAGATGAGTTGCCTTCCAACTCTCATTTTCAGTCACATTTGACCTTTGGGGTCAGCAGTGCTCGAAGGACATGGCCATTTATACTATATGCCAGGCTATTTTTGCTTCCAAGAAAAATGGGTGGTAACTCTGCTTAAAAAGAGAAATTATTACTTTCTAACAGCTCAGCCACACATGATTTGTGCACGAGTTACATGTGTGAGAGTTTTAGGCCTGGCTTTCTGAGCCAATCAGGGAAAATAGAGCCCCCTGTGCAGGGAGAGCCTGGGCTTGGTATCCAGGGGCCTGGCTCTGACTGTGCCACAGGGGCCAGTTTATTCTTTCTCCCCAGGCCTCAGTTTGTCTTCTGCAAGTGAGGGGCTAGCATGTGATTCTATAATCACAGGAAAAGTAAGGTTCGAATAAGCAAAAGGAAAGTGGATCTCTGGGAAATGCCAGGCCTCTGAGGTCCATGGAAGTGAATACAGTGTGAGTCACCAAGTAAAATAGAAATTTAAAAAACCCTCCGATTTCAATTGCAGTAACTGCAATTGCTTGGCATACATTCAGAAATGAAGTTAATAAACTGGCATTGTTGTTGGCAGATTCTCTTCCTACATCTGTAATTGTAAAGAGCTGGAGAGCAGGGTAAAGATCTCACCAGGGCTTAGTTTGGAGCTCATGGCTGAGCTCCCTAAGGACAGGTCTGACTGTGGTTGTTACTAAATTAAAACCAGCCTCTCACGTATAAAGCAATGCTTCAAAAATCACAAGTTGCATGACTGAGCAAGTATTTTGGGGGTGAAAATCAGTCATATGTTTAAAGCCAACAAACAATTTTCCACCAATGAATGTAGAACATACTGTGATAAAGTCATAATGAATATTTAATATCATCATTTACTATGTCTGTTTGCTGCTCTTTGTCAGAACCTATTTGATAAATTCTGCAAGCTAAATCTGCCATGGCAAACATAGTTACCTTTATTCCTTCTGAAGTCCTGAGTACCCCTTTCCCCTGCTTTGTGATAACGATGATGAGAATCTCCCCCTTAATTAGACTGCAAATGTCACATGTGAAGAGCACGCATTTCCAAGATAATAGTTTGCAGCTTCCCTAGAACAACATTTCCAGTAACAGAGCAGGGATGGCTGTTCTCTGCCTCCTCCCTCCACACACACACACACACACACACACACACACACGCACTTGTGGGTGGGGAGAAGAGTTCCCTCTTCCCACCTACTGTTGAATTCTGGGGTCAGAGGTCAACCAGCATCAGATCATGTTTTTTTTTTTACTTAACTTGCCATTTCTAGGGAGCTAGTTACACATACACTTATGTATTTCTTTGTCATTTACTTATTTGGAGACAAATCCAAAAAATGTTTACTCTGATAAGCTTTGGGCTGCACATGGACAATGAGACCATATGATTATTACTGACCAAAGCTGGGACTCCACCCTGACATCTGTGTGGAGACAGTCATTATTTTGCTAAATGCAAAAGCATTTAGAAAATACCCCAGGCTAGAGCTGTAGCCTATAGCCAATGAAGTCTTAATTGTCAATTTTTGTCTAATTTTGTATACATAACTTATTATATTTTACAGTTTCAATAAACTAATAAAAAAAAAGAGAGAGAGAACTACAGACTGCTATAATATGAGTTCTTTGGGAGGGGGCCTTTGGAGAAGTGAAAAGATTCTGATTTCTCTGTTCCTGGTTATTGCTCTGTGTTTAACAAATCTGTAGGATTGGGACCAGCAGATTTGAAATACCTAAAATGTTATGAGCTGAGCCATTCACTCAACAAAAGCAAGCATTGCAACGAGATCATGTGAAAAACACTGGGAGCATTGCTTTCCCAGTTGCTATCATTAGTTTATAAGACATTGATTCACTTAACTCCAGCTATGTAATATACTGCCCCAACATTCAGTGGCTTAAGCCAACAAATTTTTTTAATGTTTCCATTGATTTTAGAAAGAGAGGAAGGGGGAGACATAGAAACATCGATGACAGAGGAACATCCATCTGCCGCCTCCCACATGCCTCCACTGGGGTGGGGCCCACATCCTGGGTATGTGTCCCAATCAGGAATCAAACAAGTGATCCTCCTGATTCATGAGTCGATGCTCAGCCACTGAGCCACACTGGCTGGGCAACAACCATCTGGCTATTACAATTCCGGGGTTAGCAAGGGCTCTAGCTGACCTAGGTTATGCTAAGGTGGTTGTGGCTCAACTGGGACCTCTATCTGCTGGAATACTTTCATTGGGATAGCTCTGCAAATGTAAGGTCAAAGAGTGAAATGTCAAAAATTAGGACAGATGATGCAAATGTCCACGGCATATTTGTTTCCTACACCTGCTATAACAAATTACTACAAATCTAATGGTTTAAGACAACACAGATTTATGATCTTATCATTATGGAGGTCAGAAGTCCTAAAATCAAGTGTTCCTTGTGGAGATGTTAGCAAACAAATATGTTTTCTTGCCTTTGCTAACTCATAAAGTCCTTTCATTCTTCTTGGATGATCCTCTTCCACCCCGCTAGCCATCAATCACATTGCTTCCCCTGCTGCTTCCTTCTCTGACTCCAAATGCTGCGTTCCTCGTACCTTTACAAGAATGTAAGTCAGGAACATACCATCTTAAGATCCTTAATGCAATCAACACTGCAAATATCCTTTGCCACATAACATCACATATTCACAGCTGCTGGAAACTAAAAGATCGACATGTTGGAAGGTCCATCCTTCTGTCAATGACAGTAATTGCTGTAAAATATAGTGTTGTAACAACACAGTGAGTATGTAGTAGTTGTGGAATATCACAATGTAACACCAACAGTGAATGTGTAAGTGACTCTGGAATATCACAATGTAACACCCACAGTGAGTGTATAGTGACTCTGGAATATAACAATGTAACACCACAGGGAGTGTGTAGTGGCTGTGGAATATCACAATGTAACACCCACAGTGAGTGTGTAAGTGACTCTGGAATATGACGATGTCACATTGCAGAGGAAGCACAGTGAAGGCAAACTGTCCAGCAGGGTCTATCTTCTGTGTGGCTGAAATGTCCATTACACAGTGGCTGCCTTCCTTCTGAGGACAGAGAAATGGACTGTGCTGCAAGTATCGGCCACAGAGCTTTCCCCTCCCTGACTGGGTGAGCTCTGCTTTCCTCCACTTTCATCTTCAGAGCGGACGTGGCAGTCACCTGCGTCCCCAGTTTCCATTGGAGAACATCCCATTTCTAGTGAGCCATTCACTTTGGCAACACAATGATGGCTTCAGAAGCCTATTGACTTTGTAATGAACCAACAGGTAAGGTGTATTTTGCTGCTTTGGTCAATGCATCGAGCCCTTCAATATTGCATTCCTAGTAGAAAACTAAAATCCTGGCACCTCTTCCTATTTGAGTGGCTGGTGACATGGGTCATGAAAGAATTCACAAAGAAGAAGGAAAGTAACGATGAAGTTTACTTTCCAAGGGTGGAAAGGGCCAGGTTCTGTTGGAGCAATACGGATCCTGAAGAAAGAATCGCTCTGGCTTTTAAAGAGTAAGCAGTTGTGTTGTAGAACAATAAGGAAGGAAGGGTGTTGTGTTGGTTTAGTGGTTCAACTATAAGCAGATGCTGGGAGTTATCGTGAAGTTATAGTTGTATGGTTTTCAGGAGATGGTCAGGCGATGCACTGAGACTGTGCCATACCAGCATTTCTCATGCCTATGAAACAAGCTTAGAACAAAGTCATGAAGAGTTCAAAGGGGAGGCCAGTTTGAAAGGGAGAAAGAAGGGCAAGGAGAGGAGAAAGAATACCAATTCAAC